AAAGTTGCACTGTACAGAAACTTTTAGTGATACTACTTTGTAACTTCTTGAACTTATTTTCTATCTTGAGGGAGTTAAAATGAGAAGACTTTACTCAGAGTCCAATGGCCGTACAACAAAAATTAAAACAAATTATTTTCAATTTTTAAAAAAATATTTGTGAGAGAAAAAAATATATGTAGATATACACATACACATCTATCAGTAGATCGATCAATTGATCGATCTACTCATATGTCTAACAATATGGTCTAAGCATGCAACAATTCCATTCATCTTAAACAGCCTACATAATATACGTACTTCACCACCCATGTTGGTTTTCCCTGAGCTACTTTCCCACATCTACCAAGTTCACCCGTCTATTCCCCATTATCTCCCTTTTATGCTTTTCTTTTTTATGTTTGGGGTTTCTCATGTAGAAGACACTACGTGATATTTAACCTTCTGAACCTGATTTATTTTTCTTTGAATTATGGCCTCAGAGTTCACTCATTGTTACATGAATGACTCAATTTTGTCCTTCTTTTTCCCTGAGTAGTAGTTCAGTGTATACCTATGAACCACATTTTCATTATCCATTCATCTGTTGGTGGGTATATGGGCTGCTTCTCTACTTAAGCCCAGATGCACAAGAAATAATACCAAAAATAAAAAAATAGGATTATACCAAATTAAATGTTTCTATGTAGCAATAGAAACAACCAACAGGGGCAGGAGAGATCACTCAGTTGTCTGAAGCGCCTGCTTAGACAAGCTTAGGCAAGCAGAGGAACAACGGTAACATGACGGCATCGCATGCTGTGCCAGCTCCACCCCAAGAGTGGGCAGAGCAGGCCACAAAAACAAATATATAAATTAATTTTAAAAAGAAGCAACCAACAAAGTGAGAGAAAAAAAATAGAATGTATAAAAATATTTGCCAACTTCTCTGTGGACTGAGGACCATCATCTAGAATGAATAAAGAACTTAAAAAGTAAACATCCTAAAATTACAGTCAATGAAAATGAGAAACTGAAGTTAGTAGACACTTCTATAAGAATACAAATGGCTAGTGAATACATGAAGAAACAGAGCTTCTTTGATCATTAGAGAAATGTAAATCAAAATACTGAGATTGTGTACTATTCTGGTAAAAGAGGCTATCATGAAGACCTTAGAAGACAATAAATGTTGGCAAGGCTGTAGGGGAAAAGGAACACGCTGTACTGTTGGTTGAGCTGCACACTAGTCCTGTCACTATGGAGACCAATGTGGCAATTCCTCAAAAAACTAAAACTATAAATTCTGTCTGACACAACTACATCTCTCCTGAGTGTCTTCCCAAAGAGCTGAAGACTCTGTATCACAGTAATACCTGCCTACACATGTTTGTAACAGCACAATTCATAATAGCTAAATTATGAGAAAGAGTTTTTAAATGGAATAAAAGAGAAAGTATTCGTAGCAAAATTTAGGCAGGTCTACATTACATTTCAATAAAAATGTTAGTACAGATTATGTGCACTTCTTATAATTTGTCATAGGCTCAGATATATCAACACTTATAGAATAATCTGCAATTTAAAATATTATAATCAGGGCCAGCCAGATAGCTCAGAGGACTACAGCACCTGTTTAGGCAGAGCGTAGCGGCCGGGGTTTGATCCCCAGTATGCCGTGCCAGCCCCACCCCCGGGCACTCTGAGATGGCAATTGAGACTGGGTGTGGTGGCGCATGCCTGTAATCCCAGCGCTTGAGAAGCTGTAAACAGGAGCATCACTACAAGTCCAATCTATGTAGTAAGATCCTGTAAACCCTTTCCTAAATACATTTTAAAAAGGAACATATTATGATCCATGGAATACAATCTTTCTTCAAATTAACATAATAAAATACATGATATAATTAACTATTATAATAAAGTATAAGAAAAGAAAAAAAATTTTCTGAAGATTAACGATGAAACATTATTTGAGATGAATATAACTAAATACCTGCTTCTCTCACGTAAGAATATTTATGTTGAGGTTTATATAAATATATATTTAGCAAAATCTATTCTGAAAAATGCTGTTTAAAAGGTGAAGCTTAAATTTGTTTGTTTTAATAAACTAGATACATTTTATTTTAATGTCATGGATATGATTTTGAAAAATGGATTTTCAAAACTACTCCTAGGTTCAGGAAATGGTAAAGCAGTTTGAAACTAACATGTATCCTAAAAATATGTGATTTAAGCATGTTTAGCACCTTCCTTTACCTTCGAGAAAATCTTTCTATGGAGAATTTACTGAAATCTGTACTCTGCATAGTACTGGTTAAATTGCTGCACATAATAATCTCACTTAATCACCACAATGGTGTTAAAGGCCTATAAATATTCTTTTTTAAAGATAAGAAAGTATTGACTCCTAGTTTTTAAGCGAAAGTGTTCAATGTAGCAAGACTTATAATTGGAAGTTTGTTTAAGTTCATTTTCTCCATCCTAAGAAGCAGAAGTGATACTGATTTGGTTTCTGTTCTCTAAAAACTATAGCACACAGAAAAGAAGCACTAAAAAGTATAAAAGCTCCATGTTTGTTTTTAATTTGGTGTCTTGATAGAAAATCCTATGTATTCCTGAAATATAGCTGCTGAACAAGTTAGGGGGTTTTGGCAGTACTCTTTCAAACCCCTTGGGGTTCTGCCAAAGGGAAAGGGTCCCATGCGAATCTGGTCTGAATTCTCATCCAAATGAGCATCTGCTGTCATTGTCCCATCAGTCCTGTAGTCAGCTAGCTCTTTGTGGTGAACCCCATTCAGCAAGGAAGATGCCTGCCAGTGTTCCAGACTAGTTTTTATTTCACCCCTCTTTTCACTAAATGATTCAGTGCCTGAGTGTATTGGAGGTGGAGCCAATAAAGTTTAGCTTTTACTGCTGGGTGCTTTGGGACCCTACATCAGTGGCTGACTCAGTTTCAGTCAAGTTTATTGAAGTGGTCTTTTGGTGTCAGTCTGTCCTTTCCTGTCCTATTCTCTTTTCTGTGTCCTGTCTACGTTGCTATGGAAAAGACAAGAGTTTTCATTCCAAAGGTACACAGTTATAAAGAGAATTATATTGCATAATCTATTTTTACAGTCTGTTTCCCCAAATTAGCAGAAACAATAATTCAAACAGAAATAAATGCAATGATATTCTTCCAATGGGTAACTATTACTGATCATTTATAATCCTGATTCATGTTCTTTTGGTTTTGTTTGACTGGTATGCTGGCCATATGCATCTAATTAGAAGGTATTCTTGTTTTTGTTTGTTTGTTCAATATTTATTTATTTATTTATTTTTTGGTGGAACCAGAGATGAAACTCAGGACCTTGGGCTTGCCAAGCAAGCACTTATTCCACTGAGCTATCTCCCCAGCCCTAGAAGGTATTCTAAATCAGTGTGAATAGGGACACATTTGCAATAAACTAAAAGATAATTAAGAATCATGACACTTATACCTGAATAGCCAAGTTCAATTTTCTTTTATAATTTCACACCACAGTAAGATCACTCTACAACCAAAAATATATGATTACATTTAAATCAAGTGATCATATCATCCTTTTAAAATTATACTTATTTAAAATAAATAGAAACAGATTCTGTGTCTATATCTGAGAGTTCTTGGACAAATAGAAGTGAACTTTTTCATACTCTACTTAGCAAGCCAAGAAAATTGTCCTTTTTCTTAAACAAAATTATAGACTAGAAAGGAAGGCTATCAAGGACTGCTGGTGTAACTTTTACTGTAAGTGTTGTTTCTGTCCTCATTTCTCTCTACCTTTGTGTTATTTTCATGACTCAATTCCTTGGCAATTTTGTGAGTGGAAAATGCCCAGGAAAAAGTTACAATTAGCTCTCTTTTGCAGGGAAGCAGCTCTGCCATCTGCGGCGGGCATCGGGCCCTGTCTGATTGGGCCTCATGCTTTGTCATGCATGAGTAAGCACATTAGCCTTTTCATTTCATTCATTAGACTTTTAATCCTGATTAGTGTTTTCAAGAATCTCTCAAATATACAACTTCTTTATTTCCTTTGGTTTGATCATTCTTTTATCTTTTATCTCGTCTGTGAAACAAAATTAACATTCAATCACAACAATAGCTCTTTTCCACTGAGATGACTGGTAAATGTATTTGTTTGTCATTTGAGTGATTAATCACATGTGGGTGAAGACTGGGAAAATATCTCCTCACATGGAAGAGTGAGGTTAATTGTCTAATGTCAGTTAGAGCAGTCTGCACTTGGAAAGCTTAGATCACAATTTTCTACCAGTTTCACACCTTCAGGGTGGTTCCTGCATCACATAAAATCTTCGAAGGAGTTCCCAGAAGAGGCATTGCAATGGATTCAGAAACATTGCACTTTGGGATCTCACAGTTGAATTACCATTGTCCTGAATTCTGTAAAAGAAAATAATAATAATAACTCTTTCATGTGAGTCTGTATTAAGCAAGATAATTCTGCAGGCCACTGGTTGGAAAAGTTACTAATTCTGCATTTGAGAAACAGAACAGACTATGAAGCCAAGTATTATACTATTATACTGGCCTTCAATGGATCAGCATCCTCAAACTTTCTTTTTTTTCCTATAAATAAAGCAGCAGTAGCTCTCTATTTGATCATATTTTTTCTTAAGCTGTCGTTTTAACCCTTCTGTAACAATACTTTCAGATGTTAGTTCACATTTTTGATGACATGTACTATCGTAACTATACTGTGAACACAGGGACAAACAGTTGTTAGGAATCTGTAAATAAAAATAGAAATAAATTCCTTGATATCAATATGACAAATAATCTATCATGACATGATCATAGAAGTCACTCTTGCAGATAATGCACGTTCATCTTTGCCTAACTTCAGAGTATCTTTTTGGCAATGACATTGTAAAGAAGAAATTGGTTAAAATACTTTTTCTTTCAATTTATATTTCCACAAGATAATAGTATCATAAACTCCTTTTTTTAATTTTCCTGTTTCTTTTCTTAGGATGCCTCCATTGCACATAGATTTCACATCATGAGAGAAAAACACCCAGAGAAATTCAACAGTAGGTAAGGTAACAAATGAAAAAATTACATTATGGTTGCTGTTGATGAATTGTGCTACAATAAAAGATTTAAAACAAATTTTATACCTAGTGACTAAATAAGACTTTACTGTGGTGTGTTTGTAATGATTAGGATGAAAATATAAATTAACGAAATGTTTTAGGCTTTAGACTGACAATGATGGGAAATACAACGTGCCCATCTCTACTCAATGGTGACATGTGTTAAAATAAATTTTTAAGTGGATGAAGAAAATATTAGCTTGTTAACATATGCTAGATGTTTTTATGTGGGTTAGTACCTGAACTGTGACTGTCCTTAATTATAAGGAAAATTCTGTGACTGTCCTTAATTATAAGGAAAATAATTTCTTCTTTACAGAATTTATGTGTTGATAATGTCAAATAGCTCTATTGTGTAGATCTATAAGTTATCCAATCTTTGGAATATTCATCTCATACTAACTTCAACCAAATGCATGGTAAACTGGAGCAATAACTGTGACACTACAGACTATTTTTAAAGACTTTCCCTTCACAGAAATAATCTTTGACAAGACAAATTTTCTCCTATTAGCAAGAGGGAAACATTTTTCCTACAACTTGTAAACACTGACCTTTGTTGTTGGAAGAAAAGTCAGCTCTCTCTACTCATTCCCCTAGGTCAGTGAGGACTCAGGACATAAGAGAAACTGTACCCCAGAAAAATAGTACAAAAGTGCATCATCTTTTCTTCTGTTTATGTTCTTTCCAAGCCAAAGTTAGTATCTTTGTGTAGATGCCTCAGTGAATTCACACACTTCTGTTCAAAGCCAAAGCTAAGGTGATGGGAAATGAATACTGCTTCCTTTCTGTTAGATAAAAGCACCTGGAAGTGCTTGTGTTTCTTCTCACATTTGCTCACACACTAGTGCATTGACACACTCTTCTTGTATGTACATTAATAAATACCTTCTATGAAAATTTCTCTTTAAAATTGTTTCAGATGCTTCAAATCTCTGACTTGAGTATGTTGCTTTATTCAAGAATCATCTTAGTAAATAGTCTGATAGAGTCTATTTGAATCTCACTAAGTTTATTAAATCATTCTACACGTTTAGTAAGACAAACACTTCTGTTCTTCACATTTTGCCTTTAAGTGTTTATAACTCTACAAATGATCACTCACAACCTTAAGGTTTACTTGTTCTCTCATAGTTTACAAAACTATATGCATCTTTTATTTTAAAGGAAGTAGAAAATACGTGTGTTTATATTTATATGTATGTCATATTTTTAGGAGAATTTGGAAAAATCTTGGTACAGTTATTGCTTCTGGAAAGGAGAACCAAATAGTGCAGTGATGACTGTATTTTTCTTGAGTGCTCTTAGCACTATTTGGATTTTTCTCCAAATATATCGCAAAACCAAGTGAAAAGCAACATGACACAAGATGTGTATTTCTTAATATTCCTTGTTTCTAAAGCAAAGATAACTTTTATAAGACTTTGACCACCTTTTTGAAATTATACTCTCTTCCCAGGATTCATGACATAGCTTGAACAATCTATAAAAGAATATAGATATTAATCTATGTGCAGCAATTTTATAAGGTAGAATAGCTTATGCTTTCCTAAATGTCATTGTGTGAAATGTTCATGAATTTATATTCAGGAAGTATATAAGATTTTAGATTTTTTTTTTAAAGCTGCTTTCAAAAGGCAACTTGGAGGAGTTCTACAATGTCCAAGATCACTAAAAGCTTAAGTAATGGATAAGGGGGAATGCTTAAATCTAAGACACTAATGCCCCAAACTTATTCAGAGAGAAGAAACATGGAAGAAAAGGAGAGAGACAGTGGTAGAATGGGAGGGAGAGAAACAAAGGGAGGAAGGAGATAATTAAAAATATGAAGAGGTACATCAGTGTGTTTTGTTATAATCAAATTTCACAACCCATATATAATAATGTCAATATTTACGATCCTCGTTCAAGTGTCAAAGTCCAATCAATTCCCTTCTTTAGAATAATTTCAATTGTTCTTAATAAGAATACTTCCACTATACACATTTGTCTACTAAATTTTTATTATCAGTAGCACCACTAATTTATGACATCCCTCACTGCTCAATATGTGATTAGTTGCTATTTATAATAATGCATATTCCTCAATATTTCCTTAGGATGTAACACCTTACCTTATTCACATTTCTTTAGAAAATTTAAACATGAGTAAGTTTTGTTCATAAATAGATTACAAGGAATATTTAACTTGAAACAAAAATATAAGGCTAATGACAGTTCCTAGAATGTCTCAGAGTCACACATTTCTATGAGGAGTCCAAGCAATGCTGGGCATGTGGCAGTGTCAGAACTCTTTCCTGCCACCCCAGGCCACTTGGTCTCCCTCCAGCCTCCAGTGGTTGGGAGTCTGCAAAGCCCCCAAGTGGAGGGGTCTGTAAGCCAAGATTAAAAAAAGGAAGCAGAGAAGCCATCCAGTAGCGAGTAGCCCAACAGCCTACCCTGGCGAAGGGCCAACCCCCAAAAACTGTTTTGTATACTCTCATCTCCCTAGATTCAGTTGAAGACTGTGCTCTCCATTCCCTTCTGGAGAGCTAGGATAACAGATGTCCTGGTCACTTTTCCTGTCACAAACACTCAGCTCCAACCACTCCTAACTTAAAGGAGGAGACATTCAGTTTTGGCTGATGTCTTCAGAGGATTCGTATTTGGCTAGCTCTAAGGAAGAAAAGGATTGATGGAAGGGTCTGATGCACAACACAAGGCTGTCAGGAAGCAGAGAGACAAAGGGAGGAGCTGGGAGATGAGATCAACTCTTCTAAGTCACTCCCTCAGTGATCCACCTCCACCAGTTCCCATCTCCTAGTCATAAGTCATCTGTGGAGTCCCATGATCTCACCACTTCCCAAAATCTGCTCCCCCCAAAACGTGAGAGTTTGTGGGAACGTTCTAGAGCTAAATTATGATTACATATGTCAATAAAAGCCACCAAATGCCCAATAACATGGGATGACTTCAGTGTGGACTACAGTTCGTCAGAGCTGATGACCTCAGTCAACACCAGGGATTCAGCCACAGATGCCAGGTCCCAGGGCCACAGACCAAGACTGAACAGATGGATGAGCCCGTTGTTGCTGGTTTCTGTGTCAATTTCCTCTTCCCTTAATTTTTGTTTCTCCATCAAGATGCTTCCTGCTTTTCACCAGCCATTCATTTTGGGTTGGTGTGGGGTTAGAGGAAGACTGTGAAGAAGTAAGAGGCAGTGTTAAAAGCCAAACAAAGTGCTTTTGCCATTCAGAGAGCCCTCAAAATCCCCTAAAACTGTCTTGGATAGCCTCATTTTTTTAGTACCACCTATTCTTACTGAGTTTATCTGGGCATAAAGGTGGAGCACAGTGAGGAATGGGAAGTTTGTTTAAAAGGACTTTATTTCACACAGCTCTAGTACAAACCATTTAACAACAGTTTTTTCTGGTACATAAAATCCAGGTTTTCTTCAGTTTTCTACAATATCCAGATCCATACTCTGTTCAAATGTAGAATGGGTAACTTGTTGGTTATGTGACTGGGACACATGTATGACCACTGTACCTACAGCTTCCTCTTCTGGAATATGCAAATACCTGTACTGGACATATCCCAGGTATTGCATCAGATGCCATCTGGAGCTCACCAACTGTGTGCCCAGAGATTTTGTCTTTTCCTACCACATCCACAGTTATGTGGGATGCCCCATGCCAAGCAATCACTATCAATCTAGCAGTGTGGACAGATTAATGTTCCTGGGGTAAAATACGATTAAGGGATAAATGAGAGGTTGGAGAAAACCAGCAAAATGCATTCTGTCTTTTTGGCTCCCTTCCATAAGTTGATATAAGGTATCATATCTGGGACCCCATAAAGTGGTCGTCAGCCTGGAAACATCATTTCATTTTCTTTACTCTTGATGTCTTGGCTTTACTTCTCTTGAACAAAATAACACTGTTTAGTTCTTGCAATAGCTTCTGGTTTCTAAGAGAGATGAGGATCAAAGGAGAGCATGATATTAGAGTTGAATACAAAAGGACAAACTCCAGTGTAAATTTATTCTTTTGCCCATTTAACCCATGAAATGGGATCTCCAAGTCTCAGATAGTATGGAGGCTATCCTGACCTGCTCTCCCTGGAAAAAAGTGTAGCTACTCTGAGTATACTTATAATTTATCACAGTATAATTTAGAACCTTATCTCTGGCTTAGTAGGCCATTTTATTATCCAGCTAACTAAGGATGAGGTGTGAATTGCAACAAGCAATCAGGTAGCCAGGATCCATCTGTTCCAAACCAGCATCTCTTATCTAAGTGGTGATGCCTTTGTGAATGTTAGCCTTAGCCCATTCTAACACCATATGCACTGCTAGACAAGGGTCATAGAAGGACAAATTCAGTCAAGTTCCTGTCCTCAAGAGGCCATCAGCACTAATCCCCTTCATGGTCATGCGTTCAATGAGCACTAGCTATGAATGCAGGGTGAGCAGGTCCAAGTGCTTGCTTCTGGGATGCAAGAGGATGGATCTGCTTGATGCTTTTTCTGAGGAATTGACGTAGGGAGGAGCCCAACTTGCAAGCACAATAGATTGTGCTGTGATGGTGGGAAAAGTCTCCTGAGTGCACAGAGATCAGTCTGGTAGAGGAGAAATATTATTAGACACATACAAAGGACTGTGAGAACAGATTTCTCAAACTGCCATAATGTAAGGTGATTCGGTGTTATATTCAGTGTTCTTTTTAATATATTTTCATCATGTATATATCTAGTACTAAATTTAGTAATGAATTCATAATGATTCAAACAATTTTGTTTGTTTCATTAAATTCTTCAAACTAAAGGGTTATAGCCTTAATAAAATTAGGGAAAACTGGAACAAAAGGAAGCCAGGTATATAATAAGTTGCACAATATGCTATGGGCTGACTGCATTGTACGATAACAGCCCTAGCATTTCACATATTGCCTGCTCAGTTGG